ATAACAGTCAGCTGAAGTGGCCTGCAGTGCTGCACCCTAACCACTGCGCCACCTCGGCTCTTTAACACTGGCGGACCCCTGGCAGCCGTCTGGTTTTCTTCCTCTTGGTGCCCCTGCCAGCCCCCCCCTCCACCTGCAACTGTGACTGTCCCCCACCCTGAGATGGGAATTCACGCATCAGCCCCAACTCCCCAAAACCTCTCCCGATCGGTTGAGCCACTTCCTTCTGTAATATTTGTAGATTCTCCTTGGCAGGAAACCCTCACAACCAGCACTCGGCTTTCCTGCCACCACTGGAGTGTGTGTGTGTGAGTGAGTGAGTGAGTGAGTGTGTGTGTGTGTGTGCTCAAAGCCAAACTCCTGCTGCTGCATTTCACACACCTTTTCCGCTGGCCTTTTGTGTTTCTGCACAAGAGCTGAGCAATTAGAGCTGCCCCCCCCCCTTCACGTTGTTCTCCTGCTTTCACCGCAGAAAAGGCGCACCAGGCGCTGGGAAAAGGCTGCCCCTGGCTCAGTTCTTGATCGAAGGGGGGTCTCCAATGCAGGGAGAATGTTTGGCCCTTCTTCTCAGTGTAGAAAAGGCGAATTGCATTTGGAGGGGGAGGGGTGAAGGGGGCTAGAAAGCAGCCAGCAGGGAGTTTCAGTCGGAGGAATGCCCCCGTGGCTCTGGGAACTCTCTGCCACAAGGCATGGAGGGCAGGAAGAAGGCTAAAGGAATTTGGGGAGCCAGCGGCATCTCCGAGGCCTTTTTCTGGCCAGACCTTCTGAAAGGATCTCTCTCCTTCCAGGGGGCACCTTCTGCTCTTAAGCCCCCACCGACTCCCCAGAAGTGGACCCCCCACTGCCCCCCTTTCACCAAAGGATTCTCCGCTCTTCATCCTCAATCCTTTTTCCCAACTGCAGGCGCGGGAACGAGCCGGTGTCCTTCGGCCCCTCGCGCCGATCGGGGGGTGCCGGTGGCGGCAGGCGGTCGGTCGAAAATGCCGCCGAAGGCTCGGAGGAAGAGGGAGACCCCCGGGATGCAAATTTCAACGGCACAAAATCCAGCGACTAACCAGCACACCCCCCCTCCGCCTCCACGCTTGCCCGTTTGACTGCTGCACCCGAAAAAGAAAAGGGGGGCCACTCTGGGTCTGTTCGCCTGTCCCAAAGCCACGCCCTCCCCGATCACAGCTGCCTTTACTCCCCTGTAGACACTAGTTGGGCAGCTGCCCTTCTGCGAGGGCCACGCCCATGTCCTGTCTGACCACACCAGAAGCGCTGCGTACCCCTGGGAGAGGAAGCCCCCTTGCCCTGGCCCCCCAACCTCTTGTGCTTTCCTCTTGGCCTTTCAGAAGGCACCCCGAAAGTTGCTAAAACCCAGGGCCTTTTGGAGTCACTGCTTTGGGGGAGGGAGGGAGGGAGGGAGGGAACGAAGGAGAAAACAACTCTTACTTGGGATGACCTTTGTGCTTAACACATGCGCGCACACACACACACAAATAAAAGTTGTTAAAAATCAGAAGAACCCGAGTTCAAAGTGTTCGGCGAATCACCCAAGGACAACTCACAAGCGTCTCACTCTTCAGGCAGAGGACTAGAAACAGACTGCCTTTGCAAAGATAAGTTTGAAACCGCCGGGATGTCAAACTTGATTTCACTGAGGGCTGCATCAGGATTGTGTTTGACCTCGCAGGGCCGGGGGGAGTGTGGCCAGCTGGACTTTGGGGGCACCCGTGGTGGCCCGAGGACTCTGCCAACAAAAACGGGCTCCTGACCTCTGTTTTCGGCTCTGACGGCCTCCTGCAACCCCCCCTGAGCTCCATTTTTGCTGGCAGAGGCACCCTGGGCCGGTCCTTCGCTGTTTCCAGATCCGGCCCCCAGGCCCTGCATTTGACCCCCTGCAGAATGGTTCCTTGCTGCCACTTCTCCGCTCTGTTCGGTGCTAGCCGAGGAAAATCAAAGTGGAAACAGAGGCACAGCAGTTTTGGATGACAAACCAGTTTAATAATCCTACTAGACCCCTTTCCCGGTGCACAAAAGGCCCCCTCCCCTCAAGTGGCAATCGGAGCCTCCTCAGGGATTCTCCCCAGAGAAACTTCTCATCCGCTGCCTGGGTGAAAAGCCCCCAGCTTAAAGGGGGGAGAGGATGAAGGCACCAGGGCAAAAGCTTTGAATGGCAGACTTCCAGATGGGTTGGACTACAACGCCCATCACCCCAAGGCCTTGTCGGCTGAGGAGGAGGGGAGCTTGTCCTTTTTTTGTTCCAGAAGATTTCTCTGCCGGGGCCCCTGAATTCCCTGCGCTCCCAGCAAGAGAAGCCATCCAATAAGGCAGAACGGCTGTTGCTGAGCTACCTGAGACCCCAACCCCCTTTCCCAGCCAACGGCCCCCAGCAGCGTCAGAGGGAGCCCCCTGGGGGGCACTTCAGGGGCTCAGCAGGCGCTTCGGGAAAGGCTCCTCCTTGGCCAGGCCGGCCGCAGCTTCAGAGGCCCAAAAGAGACACTTGTGGTGTCCAGAAACGCTGGGCTCAGAATCCCTGGAGGCTTCTCCAGAAGGAAGAGATGAAGAAGAGGCTTCTCCTTCTTCTCCTCCTTCTCCGTTCAAGGGGCTCTGGGGGCCCATCCGGAGGCAGGAAGGCAGCCAGGGCCAGAGGGGGGCTCTAGTCTCCCCGGCAAGGAAAGCAGAGCCTCCTGGCTGGGCAAAGAGAACCGTCTCCGGCTCTCCTGCAAGGTTCTTGATGTGGCCCTTCAGCCGGCTGGACCCAAGACAGGCTCCCTCGTCCTCCAGACACAGACGGCTTCTCTCCCCCGTCGCCGGCTGGCCCCAAAGTCCCTCAGAAGAGCACCTGGGCTGCCCTCTGGGCTGGAAGGCTCGCCGGCCCTGCCAGGTTGGATGGCCGTGTGCCTAAGTCCAGTCTTTTGGCCGGCCTGCGGAATCAGAAGGGGCAATGGGTCCCGGAGCCTGTGAGGGGCCAGGAGGGCAGACAGTGGGGGGGGGGGGGGTCAAGCAAGGGAAGGCGAGGAAAGTGCTCCTGGGGCAGAAGAGCCAGTCCCAGGCAAGGGACTGCCACCCCCACCCCCCCAGTTCGTGGCCCCTCTGAAGAGCGCCAGTTCCAGAAGGCCGTATCTGCGGGCGCTTCCCTCCATGTTTTTGAGCAAAGGGCCAAAGTCTTCAAGTGAAAAGAAGGCGGGAGCGATTTCCTCCGCTCTGGGCCAGGGGGGGGGGGGCTCCTGGACCACCCCTCTTTCACCAACAGGCTGAGAAGACCTGTGCTTGGAAGGCACAGCCGAGGCCTGTTCAATCCCAGCACATTCGGGGGACACGGAGTGAGTTGTGAGGGCGCCCCTTCTGGGGGCGAAGGCCTCCCCCCCCCCCCGGTGGGGCTCAGCACTTTCAGAGCCACACCGACAGGCGGTTTCTGCACTGCCCCCTCCCCCCGCCCGCAGGGTTTCCCGCAGACTCACCCCTGGGGGCTGCTCAGCCGCCTCTCGAAGGTGTCCAAGTAGGGAGGAGGGGGCGCTGGGCGTCGGGAGGGGCTCTGGTCGTAGACAAAGTTTCGGCAGGAGGCCAGCTTGGATTCCAGGGCCTAGGAGCGAAGGGCACGGCCAGCTCAGTCCTGGGACAATCCCGCCTGGGTCCCCTGCTTGGTTAGGGATGGGGGCAAATCCAGCTTTCCCCCAAAGCCTCACCCCGACTTTCCGCAGGAGGTCCCCCACGATGTTCAGTGCGGATATCCGTGCGGCTGGCGTAAGCGGGGTTGCACCAGAGCCATTCTCCAAACCTCGGTTCAAAAAGAGGCTTTATTTGCAAGGGGACCACGGGGTGGATCCCGGATCTCCCTCAAGAGCTTCGTCCTGAACTGATGCCGGAACCGGATTTGAGGTTTTTCTACCCAGATGCCGTTCCAGGCCACCAGTGACCCCGGCCACCTTCCCCACTGGGAGGTGGACACTGGCCATACTGGGGCCTGGAGTACAGCCACTTCTTCCCCTTCCCCACCAGGGGGCGCTACTGCCTCATGGCCTCTGTGTATGTTTGTGTGGGAGAGAGGGGGGGAGGGGGGGAGGGAGAGACTTCTCACGTCTCCTGAAGGCTCCTGGGGTATTGAATCCGTTGCTTGGCCCTTGGGGGACCCCCGGGGTCGATGGCCTGGAGGAGGAGGCTTGCATGGCTGTGTCCGTCCGTCCGTCTTGCAGGGAGCCCCCCACCGAGGCCTTCGGCTTCTCCTGCTTCTGCTGCACGGCCAGCTCTTGGCGCAAATCTAGGGGGCCAAAACAGCTCAAGAGCAAGACGACCTTGGCCCCCCCCCACCCAAAGGGCTCTGAAGCCACAACTGTGGCCAGGGAAGGGTGGGCAGGCGATTCGGGGGGGGGGGGGAGGCTCCCTCTGACACTGGCGGTAGGAGTAGTAGGGCTTGCAAGGGGGCTGATGCCTGCACCACTCCTCCTCCCTCCCCGGCATTTCTTCTTCTGTGCCGGGCAAACCCCCGGCCCTCCCGAGGCTTCTGGCACGGAGAGCGGCTGGGGAGTGCCCGAGGGCGGAGCGAAGAGCTGCCCACCCACCTCTGGCTTCATCCTTCAGCCGCTGCACCGACTCCAGCAGGGTCTCCTTCTCATCCAGCTCGCTCTCCAGGAAGGCGTTGCGCTCAATGGCCTGGTTCAGCCGCTGCTCAAAGTCCTCCAGGGACATGATGGTGGCTCTGCGAGGAGCCCAGGCCGAGCGTTAGCTGGGCCTCAAGGCCTGGGAGGGTGAATGGGGAGACTCCAGGGGTCCCCCGAGAGCAGCCAGCCCTGCCCCCACCCGCCCGGGTACCTCTTGGCCCTCTCCAGGTCATCGTTGCACTGCTCCAGTTCCCGGATGTACTTCTGCAGCTGGTCCCGGGCGGCCCTCACCTGGCCCAGCTCTTCCTCCAGGGCCGAGATATGCCGGTGCCCCTCGGCATGTTGGCTGGCTATCTTCTCCTAGTCCCAGACCATCACGCAGGACAAGGTGTCACTCGCACAGGCTGTGCCAGAGGGCCTTTGCCCCCCCCCACCTGAGGGTCCTCACTTGCCTTGATGTCTCCCCCCCCCCCCCCGAACAGGGCTCTGAATGCCAACGCTG